TTTGTTAGTGAAAGTGATACTACAATCAAGAGAACAAGTTAAACGATTGACTGAAAGTAAATTAAATGGACAATGAGGTACATAGAGAACAGAAGTAACAAAGAGAGAAAGTAGAATTTTAACAGTACTGCACCAATCCCTTCAGATCGGGTTTGAGAACCATTGGCAGAAGTTATAGTTGGTAAGAAACCAGAGGTAGGGAGGGAAAAGAACAAACTTTTATTATCAGTAACATGATCAGACGCACCAGAATCAAGGACCCAAGGTCGAAGAGGAGATGATTGAGAGAGGCAAACAGATGAATTACTGGTGTGTGCTACCGTAGCAGTAGAATCTGAGTTCTGATAATTTTGATGCCATCCGAGAAAATCATCGTAATTTGGCGTAAAGTTCTGAGGAGTAGCCATGAGTATCTGAAGAGAGAAAATATCACGCGATCGATCACCGGACGTGCTGTCACGTACGGTTCAAATGGCGGCGCATGATGCCCACACGCGGAGACAGAGGTGGCGCGTGCAGAGGTTTCTGCCGGTGAAAAAGTTTGCCGGAAGGTCGCCGGGAATATTAGCGACGACGGAGGCTATGCGGTTATGACCGAAGAATATTGAAAACTGATGGTAGGGTTGGCTTTTCGAAACGTCGCCGAAAGTTTTGCCGGAACAGTACAGCAGGGTGGTCACCAGAAAATTTTGAAAAGTGAGAGGCAAACCGGAGTGACAACACGGTTTGTAAAAAAAAAAAAAAAAAAAAAAATTTCTCACCAGAAGACCGTGGGTAACCGGGTAAAGCATGGCGAAGAAAGAATTGACTCTTAGCAGACTCTAGATACCATGTTAAGAAATGTGGTTTGGCCTAACTCAACCCTACAAAACCGGTTGGTAGAGCGAGGATTATCCGCACTTATAAACACATGTTCATGCCATATATTGTCCGACGTGGGACTCTTAACACACCCCCTCACGCCCAGGACTGGACATCTGAAGCGTGAAAATAAATGGTGGGTGGCCCGATAGTGGAAACCTGATAGCAGGTGGCTTACCGGATCTTAAACGAGACTATGATACAATGTTGAAATACAAGAGACTAAGAAACATTTGAATAAACCGTGTGTTTTGAAAAACACTACGCAGATATTATTATATATAGATAGATTACAACTAATTACAGAATATAGTTGATGTGAGACTATTCTATATACAAATATTCTTAACACTATATATTTACAAATATCAACATATGACATTGACTTGGTACTAGGAATGACTTGGTTGACTAAGTTGGGAGAGATGTGGGTGGATTGGATGCATCAGTTCATGCGTTTTAAATTTAATGGTGATTGGGTGGAGTTGAATGGGGCTGGGAATGACGTTGAGCAGCAGGGGGCATTACAGACTTTCTTAGCTCGTTCAAGACATGAAGTTGATGGGCTGTATGTCTATTGAAAGTCAAGGAGTGGCTAATGAAGAATATAATAATTCTCAGAAAAAGGAGGTAGAGCAGGTATTGAGTAAGTTTGCTGAAATTTTCAAAGAACCACAAGGTATGCCACCCAAGAGGAAACAGGAACATACTATTTGTTTGTTAGAAGGGCATGGACCTGTCAATGTTCGTCCATATCGGTATCCACATTTCCACAAGAATGAGATAGAAAGGCAGGTAAACGACATGTTAGTTGCGGGAATTATCCATCCAAGTCAGAGTGCGTTCTCTAGCCCGGTGATTTTAGTGAAAAAGGATGGTACTTGGAGGATGTGTGTAGACTATCGTGCTTTGAACAAGGCCACTGTTCCGGACAAGTTCCCAATTCCGGTCATAGAAGAGCTGTTAGATGAGTTACACGGGGCACGTTTTTTTCTTCTAAAATTGATCTAAAATCGGGTTTTCATCAAGTAAGAATGCGTAGTGAAGATATGCATAAAACTGCGTTTCACTCACGAGAGACATTACAAATTTTTAGTAATGCCATTTGGAATGATGAATGCTCCTTCAACATTTCAAGCGTTGATGAATGATGTTTTCAAACCTTTGTTGCGAAGGTTTGTGTTGGTATTCTTTGATGATATATTAGTGTATAGCACTACTTGGAAGGAGCATATGCAACATCTTAACCAAGTTCTACAGGTTCTGTTGAAAAACGGGCTGGTGGTTAATAAAAAGAAATGCTATTTTGCAGAGTTCAGTGGAGTATTTGGGACATGTTATTTCTCATGAAGGAGTTGCAATGGATCCAGAGAAAATCAAGTGTGTGTTACAATGGCCAACACCAAAGAATGTGAAGGGAGTAAGAGGATTTATTGGTCTTACCGGCTATTATCGGAAGTTCATAAAAGATTATGGCAAGATAGCAAAACCCTTGACAGACCTCACTAAGAAAGAGGGGTTTAAGTGGGAAGGTAAAGAGCAATGTGCTTTTGAAGTGCTCAAAAACAGGGTCACTACAGCACCTGTTTTGGCTTTGCCAAATTTCAACCAGGATTTTTATATTGAAAGTGATGCTTCGGGAAACGGGTTGGGAGCAATATTGTTGCAACAAAGTCGACCTATTGCCTATTACAGCAAAGCTCTTGGTGAAAGGAATCTACCAAATCGGCATATGAAAAGGAGCTAATGGCGGTGGCGTTATCTATTCAGCAATGGCATCCTTATTTGCTGGGCTGTAAATTTACTGTTTATACTGATCAGAAAAGCTTGAAACAGTTGTTGCAGCAGCGGATAACAACAATGGATCAGCAGAATTGGGCAGCTAAGTTGTTTGGATATCAGTTTGAAATTGTTTATAAACCTGGTTTGGAATACAAAGGGGCAGATGCTCTGTCTCGCATGCATGAAAGTCTTGAGCTACATTTTTTAATTCATTACCCGGAATGGTTGGGCAGCAGAGAGGTGTTAGAAGAAGTACATAATGATGCTGTGTTGAAGAACATCATTGCTGACCTGACAAAGGGGAACACAACAAAACCAGGTTTTGCCTACTGTACTGGGGTGCTGCTGTACGAGGACAGGTTAGTGTTGGCTGCAAACTCTTGTTGGATTCCTAAATTGTTGTTGGAATTTCATTCATCTCCTCAAGGTGGTCACTCGGGATTTTGCCGTACTTACCGAAGAATTGCTGCAAATTTGTTTTGGTTTGGAATGAAGAAACAAATTATGCAATTTGTTCAAGCTTGTGATGTTTGCCAACGACAAAAGTATGTGGCTGCTGCTCCAGGAGGACTTCTGCAACCTCTTCCTATTCCTTCACAGGCATGGGAGGATTTGTCTATGGACTTTATAACTGGTCTCCCTAAATCTAAAGGTTACGAAGCAGTGATGGTAGTAGTGGATAGTTTGTCCAAGTATGCACACTTTGTGTCACTAAAGCATCCGTATTCAGCCAAAACACTTGCTGATGTGTTTGTTAAGGAGACCATAAGGTTGCATGGCATTCCAATGTCAATTGTAAGTGATAGAGACCCGGTATTTGTGAGCAACTTTTGGCAAGAGATTTTCAGGCTACAAGGGACTCACCTTAAAATGAGTACAGCATACCATCCACAAACAGATGGTCAAACAGAAGTTGTTAACCGTTGCTTAGGGACATTCCTGCGTTGTTTCATTGCTGATCAACTCAAGACATGGGTGTTATGGATGCCCTGGGCAGAGTATTGGTATAATACTACATACCATGCATCAACCGGAGTTACACCTTTTGAGGTGGTGTATGGGAGAACACCTCCACTGTTGACAAGGTTCTTACCAGGAGAAACTAAAGGAGAAGCTGTTAGAAGGGATTTATTAGCAGGGATGAATGTCTGCGCCAGCTGAAACATCATTTGAATCGTGCTCGTACACGCATGAAAAATCAAGCTGATCGTCATCGAAACGATAGGGAGTTTTCTGTAGGAGATTGGGTATTTTTGAAGCTCCGACCACATGTGCAGGCGAGTGTGGAGGTGAGAATTAATCCAAAACATGCTCCACGTTATTACGGCCCATACCAGGTGATTGAGAGAATTGGAGTTGTTGCTTATAAGCTCAAACTGCCAGTTACCGCACGGATCCATCCAGTTTTTCATTGCTCTCTACTCAAGAAAGCTATTGGGAATTATCAGGTTGAAAAAGAATTGCCTACTGGTTTGGAAGGGAAGTCAGGAGGACTGTGGGAGCCTATTGAGGTTCTTGCTGACAGGGAAATTACTAAGGCAGGGGACACTGAAACAGCTGCTGACACGTTGGAACGGTAAACCTGTTGATAAGCAACTTGGGAAGACGAGTTTGTTATGCGAAGCCAATTTCCTACGTTTCGACTTGAGGACAAGTCTGTTTCTCCAGGAGGGAGTATTGATAGAGTCACAGGTCCTAAAGTTTGGAAGGTGTGCGTGAGTAGGGACCACTGCTGATGTGGCAATAGGGTCTGAATGAGGAGAGTGTGTAATTACATTTTCTGTTATAAAAGTAGTGGAAGAGTGGGGTAAGGGGCATGCAGAAGTTTGTTTTGCATTCTGTTAGGCAGAGAGTAGTTCTCTGTGGAGCATTTTGCTCTGTGGGTAGTTAGGGAGAGTTTTCCCTTTCTTCTGTTTTCTACTTCCTCATCAATATTAGACAAGCATTTTTACCAATTCAATTGATTTTCTGTTACTGTTTTATTACACTCATTTTCTGGTTTCTATCAATATATCATGCTTGCTCTCTTAGAAATTTCCAGATTCCGATGTTTATAGTATTGATGCATATACTGTTATTATCAGAATCATTTCAAATGGGCTGTAGATGATATTCAGCCCATAGTTTTTGTTAAGAGTCCCACGTCGGACAAATATGGCTTGAACATATATTTATTCTAAGAGTTTTAAAGGCAGAATCTTCAGTAGGGCAGATATTAACTTTGCTAACATCACTTTTTGGCTGCAGTGCCATACTTTTATCAGTGGTGCTACTCTAATTATAAAAGCACGACTGTGTTGCACTTAGTAGTTCCTTTCGATCTAATGTGATGACCCTTTTAACCTTTTAAACAACAGGTATAAATCGAGATGAATTTACATCAGATTCTCTCTTCTGGCAAGACCAGATTCGTCATTACTGGAAACTGATGAATGTCAAAGAAACAGACATACGCAATGTGATGGATATGAATGCCTTTTATGGTGGATTTGCTGTTGCATTGAACAACTTTCCTGTTTGGGTAATGAATGTTATTCCTGCAAGCATGAAGAACACCTTATCCGGAATTTATGACCGGGGTTTGATTGGGACTTTTCATGATTGGTAAGATTTTGCAACTGATATAGCAAGTAGTAAATACATTTCAAACACATGTTTTATTGCTTGACTACAGCTATAATGTTGGTATCTTTACATCAGGTGTGAACCATTTTCAAGTTATCCTCGTACTTATGATCTTTTACACGTCAACTACCTCTTTTCCCACTACAAAAACATAGGGGAAGGTTGTGCATTGGAGGATATCATGCTGGAGATGGATCGTCTTTTACGACCACTGGTAGTTACTTTTCTAAAAGGTTACCTTCATGGTTGTGTGCATGTGAATAAAGTTGATAACTCAGCTCACTTTCTATCTGCAGGGATTTATTATCATTAGGGATGAGGAACATATTATGTCAAGAATCAATGAGTTAGCCCCAAAATTCCTTTGGGATGTAGAGTCACATTTGCTTGAGAACAAAGAAAAGAAGATGGAAACTGTTTTGATTTGTAGAAAAAAGTTTTGGGCAATCCTCTAAGGGGAAAGAGACTTTTTGCGATTGGAAATTGTTTTTAACCACGCGAGTAACTTGTAATGTTATATAGTTCTAAGTGTATCTGCTTTGTTTATTGGTTAATGATCATTTTGTGTACATGTCTCTACAAGACACTCAATTTGTACATCACTTTCAGTTTAGTAAGTAGGAATAGAAGTTTAATGTCCTATATGATTTAATCTATGTTTCTTCTCAGTGCATAAATATAAGATGAAAAATCAAAAGTTTCTTTAAGACTCCATTAATTTTAAAATTCTTGTATCACGGCAATTAAATTAAATCTGAATTCACATCTAGAGTTATATAGAGGTTAGACTGATAAGGATGGTATTATATGGAGGTTAGAGTGATAAGAATGGTATCGTATGGGGTCCCAAATTCTAGTCTGTATTATCAGCTTCCTCAAATTGTTGCTGTAGGGGAATGATCATTAATTTTCTAAAAAGAAATTGACGAAATGGAGGTGAAATGATAGATTAAATGATAGGTATCATAGGTATCATAGGTTAAATGATCATCAATGGAGACACTGAATCATTTTTTTCATTATAAAAACAACTTCGTTCTTTCATTTTCCCTTATTCTGAATTCTCAAGTTTTAAAAATTCCAAGGGTCTGTTTGGTTCAAATGAGGGGGAGGGGAGAGGAGAGGAAGGATTTTAATGAATGAAAGAGGAGGGGAGGTGAATGATTTTTTTAAAAGAGAGGAGGGGAGGGGAAGGGAGAGATTTTAATTAAAAATGTGTTTGGTTCAGAAGGGGAGGACAGAGATTTTATTAATAATTTATATTTTCATTCTTATGATCTTATATAAGTCATATGATATTAAAATGTTAAAAATTCATGCGTATTTTTGTTGGTAATAAAATTTCTAATATTGAGTGATTAAAAAAATATTTATTTGATATATATAAAGTTAAAAAATGAGTACAATTGATTCGACTTATAACTTTCCAACATAAATTAAACTATATACCAATAACATCGTTTAAGTTGTGATGAATCATATAACAAAACTAATATATAAAATAACTTATTATTAAAATTAATGGTTCAAAATATTTAATAAAATGAATAAAAATAAATAAATAAAATGAATGATTTACAATTTGATATAAAAAAAAATATGATAGAATACATAACAAAATTAAAAGAAAGAAACGAATATAACTAAACATGATTTTTTTTAATAAAAAAAGACAATGATTATGATTTATTAAGTATAGAAATTATAAAATAATTTGAAGGTGGAGAACAATTATAATAAGTTGATTGAAACAATCGGAAAAAAACAGTAACACGAAAGAAAACAAATAGTTTTGAAATACTGAAATTAAACTGAAGATATTTTAGTAAATATAATAATTTTTAAATATTAAAACTCATATTCTCTCCCCTCCCCTCCAAATCCCTTCAATTCGGAGGGAACCAAAAAGTGTGTTTTGGAGGGATTTTGCTCCCCTCCTCTCCTAAGATTTGAACCAAACATATTTAATTAAAAATTTTCCCTCCCCTCCCCTCCATCTACCCCGAACCAAACACACCCTAAATGACTTCAACCTGAGTGTCATATGCCTAAAAATACCAGGTAATGCTGAAGAATACAATTACATCAACTTTTATCTATATTCTCTAATACTTTTTACCCTTATCATATTGAATTAATTGGAAGTTATGCGCACAATAGACTGAAACTCTAGGAGCCAGTGGAACCACAAGGATGTGTTCATTTTGAAAATGATGCATCAAATGCAAGAAATGCATGTATACTGTGTGAGTAATGCAAGATACAATTGTTAGTCTTTTGATAGTTTTACAAATGCAGGATAGGACATATGATTACAAATGAGACTAGCGTTCTACGTTCTGCGGGCATAGTTCAAGTTCTGGATCTTGGCTGTGGCGTGGCCAGTTTTTCAGCTTATCTTCTTGCTTTGAATATATGAACTATGTCCTTTGCCCCCAAGGATGGTCACGAAAATCAGATTCAATTTGCATTAGAGTGAGGAATTGTTGCAATGATTTCTGCCATGTCCACAAAACAACTACGATAATGCCATTGTTTCATTAAACACCATCAGCAGCCACACAATTGCCACACGAGCCCCACATAAGCCAACCAAAGTGTCGTGTAACAGTCCAATTTTCAAAATAGTGGATTAATTGTACTAATTAATTGGATTTATTTGATCTATGTGAGTTATTGGATTTAACTGATTTATTCTATTTGGTAGAATAATGTGGGATTACTAGATACTATCCAATTAATGATAAGATGAGATATTTTGGTGAATAAAGGGTCAAGTGGATATTTTATGAGAAATTGATTAGTAGATATTTTGAGAGAAGGGAAATGTGATGGAAAGAAAATAATGGAAGGTATATAAGGATAAGTGGAAGGAAAATAGATGGATAGGAAAACATAAGAGAAAGAAAGTGGAAGAGAAGAGAAAGAGGAAGATAAGAGGAAAACTTGGAAAATCATCAAGATCCGATCCAAAGCTTCGATTTAATCAAGGTAAGGGTGAGAAACATTATTATCTTAGCAATGTGTATGATTATGTATGATTGGATTGGGTTGTTGTGAGTTTTCCACCATTTTTCATTTTAGGGCAAAATGGATTTAATCGGTGTAAATCGAAGTTTAACGGTTAAAATCGAGAATAAGTAGTATAGTTTAGTCGGGTATGGTTATATTAAGGTTATGAAAACTGATTGAATGAAAATCGGTCGATTTTGGAGAGAGTTGGAATTTCTGAACAGTGGGAAAATTCTGGTTCGCAGACGTTCGCTAGTTGTTCGCTAGGTGAGCTGGTCGCGAACGCTCGCTGGGACCTCGCCTAGCGAGCTAGTGGCGAGTGGAAACAGAATGTGAGAGGTTCCTTTGTTGGGTAGCAAACGCGGTAGCGAATGGTTCGCTGGGGGTTCGCTGTGGCGAACAAGGTAGCGAGTGAGGTCTGTAGCATCTGTTTGGGTTCGCTAGGCGAACATGTAGCGAAGGTTCGCTAGCTGCTCGCTAGGCGAGGCAGTAGCGAACATGACAGCATTTTGTTTTTCTGTGATTTCATTCCATGTTGTGTTGTGGTTCGATCGGGTTCGATTCTTAATGGAACGAAAAGTTATATGCTGTTATATATGTGTTATGGGTAGCCGTATGACGTGAATCCTAGGTTTTGAGATGTGTATATTATTTGTATTGATTGGAAATGCATGAGAACATATTGTGGATATGTGTGCATTGTTTGATAAATGTGAAGAATGCATGAGAACATATTGTGGATATGTGTGCATTGTTGATAATGTGGTGATGATATTGAATTGTGAATGCATATTGTTTGTATGCGGTTGTATGAATAGAATGCATGAGAACATGTCTTGGATATGTGTGCATTGCTTGATAGATGTTTTAAATGCATATTGTATGTATGTGATTAAATGTGAATAATGCATGAGGACATATTGTGGATATGTGTGCATTGTTTGATAAATGTGAAGAATGCATGAGAACATATCATGGATATGTGTGCATTGTGTGATAATGTGGTGATAGTGTTGAATTATGAATACATTGATGAATGTTATGTGAATATGTTGTGTGTGCAATCATGATATAATTCTTGAAGAGATGAATTATTGGAATGCATGAGATTAAGATGTCGGTCTTAAGTGCATTTGATTTTCGATTGCATATGCATCATTTAGTCAAGAGGCAATGCTTGCTAGTTTCGTGGAGACTAGTGACTTGTCCCAAACCTAGAAGAGTGGGTTTGAAGGCTTAGAGGACGAGCCTTTGTTGTTATCGGTCTAGAAGAGTGGACCCGGTTTAATGTAAAAACCGAAAAATGATAACGGGTTATCGGTCTAGAAGAGTGGGCCCGGTTTAATGTAAAAACCGAAAAATGATAACGAGAGTCGGTACCGCATTGCATGAGTTGCATTGAGTTGTTGAGTCACATTGATATATGACATATGCATGAAGAGATGCTTATGTGTGAATGATAAGATTGTGGAAATGTGAGTGTATGCATGATGTGGGAATGCTTTGTGAATATTCATGTTGTCTATATATGTGTGGTAAATATATATGACTAAGAGGGTGAATAGTGGTGAGAATTGTGGAATATGCGTATGTGCATTACTTGTGTAATTGAGAAATGTGAATGTGTAATAGTGAATTGGTAGAATTGATGGGCTTTACGTGAGCCATATGGCATGGATAGAATTGTTGATTTAAGTTATGCTTACGTATGTGTACATGACTTGTGTAATTGAAAATGATGAATATGTGATTGTTAGGAGAAGTGTGCATATATACATGATATGTTGATTTAAGAGTGGTGAGTATGTGAGTGTTGTATGAAAGTATGCTAGGTGCATGATAATATGCTTGATGATCAACCATGTTAGTTTATATGATGAGGTAATTGAGAGGTATGTGTGAATTGAATATGAAATGTGGTGAGAAATGTGGCATATATGTATTTTATGATTGCTTATATACACAATTATATGCATTGATTATTATGGTAATATTTCTCACCCTTCTGCTGGAATGATGTCCTACATGACATCGTGCAGGTATAAGAGTAGAGCTGTTCGTTGTTGCGAAGTCGCTGTTGGTGCAGCTGTTTAGTATTTTTATTATGTTGGGTCGAGTCATGCTCTGGTCGTGTAACACTGGGATCGCTTGGTTTATGTTTTAGAAATATACTATGTTTTCTTGTTTATTAAAATAATAAGAAGTTGGCCTTAGTGCCCGAGCCTTGTTGATTTATGTGATGAAAACAAGTATTTCCTTTATGAAAAATCATTGGATAAATGAATCCGCTGCTACATGCTAATTGAAATTGTAAAACATGATTATTCATTGAAGTGTTGATGAGCATGACAGGTGTTTGAAAGTTTGAAGTGTGACACCCTTGGTTGAATGCATGTTAATTTTACTCTGATTATTTTAATTAATTACGGGGATTAGAGGGGTG